CCCCCCCCGGCGCCCTAGTAGCTCTATTTTTAATTGTTTTGGGGACCACTATATTGTTCTCCATAGAGGCTGCTCCACCTTACGTTCCCCCCCAGCAGCGCTCAAGGGTTCCGTTTTCTCTACATCCTCACCAACACTTGGGATTTACTGTTGTTCTGGTCATGGTTACCCGAATGGTTTTGATCTGCATTTCCCTGATGATTGGGGATGTTGAGCATCTTTTCATTTGTGTGTTGGCCGTGGCTTCTTTGGAGAAATGTCTGTTTAAGTCCTTTGTCCATTTTTAAATTGGATTGTTTGTGTTTTTGTTGTTGAGTTGGGGTTCCTCATGTATTCTGCATATTAACCCCTCATCACATACAGGGTTTCTGAATATTGGCTCCCATTCCACAGGTTGCCTTTTCACTCTGTGGATCGTTTCCTTTGCCGTAGAGTTTTTGTTTCATTTCTTGTGTTTTTGTTACCTATACCCAGGTCATTTCAGTGGATTTCAGGAAATTTGGGAGTCCCCTTGAAATTAAATACAGCTTTTTGTCTCTGTGCATGCCTATATATACATTTTTCTGGAGTGAGGGTCCATGTGACCTGTTGTATTCTGTCAGGATTTAAGAGAGGTTATCTGTGGGGACTATTGGTTTTGAGAACAGTGTTGCCTAAAACTCGGCACGTGGGCCGTGACCCAGCACTGTCTCTTCAGCCTTGCCCCGCCCGTGTTCGAGGCCCAGTTACAGGACCTTTCTCCGCGCTGGTGCCTAGCCCAGTGCCTGGCACAGTGAGTGTTGAAGGAAAGCTCACTTTTGTGTCTTTCTCCAACCTGACGGGTCTTCTGGAACTAATAGTAAATGTAGTCTTGGCCTGACTCTTGGCATCCTTCTTACTCTTCTTCCAACCTTTCCACTTTGTTGGGGCTCTTCCTGCCGTGCTTTACCCACCTCTGACACTTGCAAGCCACCTCTCTTCCCTTTCCAGGCCCTTCTCTCTTGATGTGCCAGAGTCTCTCCCCATGACCAGCCTTCCCTTTGCTCCTCCTTGCGAGGTTTCATCCCTTCACACTGTCCAGCTCCATCTCCCTGCTGGCTTGGGCCTGGGGTCCCCTCCCAAGTCTCTGTGGTGGCTTTGCCTGTGTTCTACCTGCTGATTCCAGAATCAGTCCCCTAGCCTTGCCCACCCCATCACACACCATCTTCTGGCCACCAGGTGTTCCCCACCCAGTACCTCCAGCTTTGGGCTCGCTGCATCCCCCGCCCCGGCTGGCCAGGCCTGCCCCCCTGTTGCCGAATGCTCTTGCTCTTTCTTCTCTGTCCCCTTTCATGTGGGTTGGAGGTCTCTTTTGCTTTTCCTGCTCCCCACTTCTCTGCCTGTAGGAGCCCAAATTCCCCGTCCTGGGAGTCCTGAAATCAGCCGCTTGCTGCTTCCCATGGCACTTTCCCATGTTTTTCTAGGATTTCAGCGTGTTCTGTCTCCCAGACAGCTCGAGGAAGCAGCTGCCTTCCTCGTTACTGTTCCCCTTTTGGTTGCTCGCTTCAGGCTTTAGCAGATGTTTATTAAGTATTTGTTGAACAAATGATGGCTCTTTTGCCTTCAATGTTCTATTTATTTGAACTCAAATGTTTGTGCCATCTTATAGACTTTTCCTTTAGTGGAGCATATATCCCAGCTTATTTGAAGCTCTTCTAATTCAGTGTAATAAAAATTGACTGTGTGTTTCCTCTAGATCCCAGGTACTGGGACATGGGTGTGCATAAGGGGAGAGTCTATGTGCTGACCCTCCCGCAGTACCTCAATGTTTGTAGCCCAGTACCTCAACGTTGTGGTCTTGGGAACTCTTGAAAATTATGAGCACCCCGAAGAGCTTTGTTGATGTGGGTTATTATTATTACTGTATTCAGAATTAAAACGGAGAAGTTTAAAAAAAAAACTTTGAATTTATTTGAAAAGAACAGACTTAACTACATGTTAACATAAATAACATTTTTTACAAAAATGATTAGGAAGAATGGCATTGTTTTATGTTTCTGTATATCTCTTCTTTTATGTTTGGTTCATTAGACAAGACCTGCATTTTCACATATGTGTCTGTGTTCATTCTGTCGTAATACATTGTTTTGGAGGAACTATGTGAGGAAAATGTGGCCTCACACAGATCTGTAGTTGCAAAGGGGAGGCGGGTATTTTCATAGTCTTTTCAGGTGGTGGTGGGTAGTGGTGGATATCTCTGATACTCTGCTGGAACTCAACAGGTGGTAGTTTCTTAAAGGTTAGTTGCAATGTGGAATCTGAAACTGTATCAGTGAAGTTTTCATACTGTTACATTAAAATTCATTAGTCTTTCTTGCCCCCGGAACAGCTCATTTGCTCATGCATGATGTTACAACATCGTCCATTGGTTATTTGGAAAACACTGGCTCACTGAGTTATACAGATTTTCCAAATATGGGCACACAGTGTTATACAATGTAAAAGGAAAAAAAAAAGTAATCACATTTGTTAACACCACCACCAGTCTCCTTAGAACTAAGTCTGTCCAGTTCATGGTGGCTGATGTAAATTTTCCAAAATTCTAATTTTTGTTTTAAAATGTGAATTTCATCCTTTGTAACAAATGCTATGAATTTGTTTTTCTGGAAGTGACCAGCTCATTTCATCTTTGAGAAATCTGCCAATACTCTTTTTTTTTTTTAATCGGTCATTCTGTCAAGTAGAATGATGTTCTGTGGAGAAAATGGCCAAGTGCAGTCACAGCGTGGTCACGAGTGCCTTTCCTAGAGATAAGCGCCGGCCCCCGGCGCACAGCACTAGTGCTCTGTGCATGTCCCGCCTGTTCTGTCGTGCGCAACCCTACAAAGATACGTACTCCAATAACAGTAAATACTTTTCTAAAAGAGGTTACGTACTCAAGGGTCAAAGGAGCTTTCTCTGCCCCATCAGAGCCCTTCTTCCGTGAAACCTGGCCATCTTTGTAGTAAGTGTGCGGCGGTGACTAACTCAGTGCCGTCCTGACGAGTGCCAGAGTTTCACTCACCAGAGCAAATGTCAACATAGCTGGAAAAGGCAGATAACATCTTAGTGTTCCTCTGACGATGGTTTTGACCCCGCGGACCTCCCTGGAAAGGTGGCGGGGACGGTGCGGTGATCGCACTGGTGACGTGTGGCCTCGGCCCCCCCTCGGGCCTGGGCGCAGGTCACGCCCCGCCCCGTCCTCCAGGTGACGCTGGCCCTGGCCTCCGTGTTTCCAGGGAGCCCCCCTGCCCCCCTCACCCCTGGGCCGCCTCGCTGTATTTTTCTCCATATCCCTTGTCACAACACACGCTGCTGTTCTCCGTTTGTCTGCCTCCCTCCGCTGACATGTAGGCTCAGGATGGCAGAGATTTCCATTTGTCTTGTTCGGTGCCGTGCCCGGCACCGAGTATCTGGCCCACAGAGACGGTAGCAGCCGAATACGGGAATGAGCGCGTGGATGAGCGGTGGGCAGGGCTTGGGCCGGGTCTCTGCTGCCTGCGGGCCTGCACTGCTCCCCGCCGTCCCGGCCCCTGCTGACGCGGCTGTGCTCTCTCCGGCCCTTCAGCCAGTGCTGCCCCACACGGCCGTGTGCCTGGTGTGTGGCGAGGCAGGGAAGGAAGACACGGTGGAAGAGGAAGAGGGAAAGTTTAACCTCATGCTCATGGAGTGCTCCATCTGCAATGAAATCATCCACCCTGGATGCCTTAAGGTGAGCAGTCCCGGGGGCTCTGGCCGTGCGCCTCAGCACGCCCACGGAGGGCCTCCGGTGGTGCTGATGCTGGGGGGCCCGGTGAGCTTCCTTCCCCGGACGACCTCCAAGTCTGCGGGGCTCTGTGTGTCAGATAATGAGCTGAGGCCAAGAAGAGGCTGGAGTAGTTCAGACCTCCCCCCGTGTCTTCGAGGGAATGAACACATACCCCCCACCTCCCGATACCTCAGAACCACAGACAGTTCCCAGAGTCTTGCACCCAGACCAGAGGGAGAGACTGGGTGGTTGTGCGGCTTGCTGGAATCCTGGCTCCGGGCTTCTGGGAGAACAAGGCCTGGGCCAGGGGAGGGCGGGTCCTGTGACAACAGGTGGTTGTGTCAAGAGTTGCTGTGTGCTAAGGACCTGCTCCCTTGGTGTGCCCGGGCAGGGCTGCCTTCTCGTGGGGACCGCCGTGCTGTGCCCGCCTGTCTTAGGCAACAGGTTCCACCGCTGAAGGGAAGAGACTGCTCTGGGCTGTCCCCAGAGAATGTCATCATGCCTGGCACCTCCCCATCATCCCAGCTGTCAGCCTATGTGTATTTGTGTGTTTTAGCAAGCTTGAGGTCGGCCTGCCCCAGATGTTAACTCAGCTCTGGAATGTCTCCGTTCCTCCGTGGTGGTAGTGGGGGTTTGTCTGGAGGCTCATCCTCCTGCACACACCTCCCACTCTGAAGGGGGCACTGTGATTTCTCCCTGCCTTTGGAAGTCAGACCTTCATGGTTTATTTGCCTGGTGACTTCAGTCTCCCAGATCAGATACAGCGCCTCGGAGCTGCTCACACTTAGCACCCAGGACAGTGCTGCTCCATGACTGAACAATTGGTGGGGTCCTTTCTGGGTGCCAGGCCTTGAGCCAGTCGCTTTACCTAGGTTATCTCCCTGACCTGTTGCAGAACGGTGGTGAGACAGGTACATTCCATTTCATGATCGAGGGCACCGGCCCACAGCAATGGAGCGATTTGCCCACCACGGTCACTGAACTAGTAAGAGGCAAAGTTAGGATTTGACCCCTGGCCAGAATCAAGAGCCACCTGTCTGAGCCACCTTTGTTTTCTTTTGGTCAGGGATGGGCTAGAAATGACATTTGGGAGGGGGCTGTTGATGTTCCTCGCAGGTGTGGCATCTTCTTCCCCCTCCCTGCTTGCTGACTGGCGTGTGTCCTTTGCAGATTAAGGAGTCAGAGGGCGTGGTCAACGATGAGCTTCCAAACTGCTGGGAGTGTCCAAAGTGTAACCACGCCGGCAAGACCGGGAAAGTGAGTGCCGGGCTCCAAGTCCCAGGGGTCAGCCTGGGAGGGGCGGACCTTGGCCTTGCCAGATGCAGCCTGTCCCTGCGCTGTCAGCCAGTGGGGTGCTGCGGGTTCCGGGAGGGGGGCAAGTGCAAAGATATACAGTTGGTTTGTTCCTTCTCTCTTTTTGGCCTACAAGCAAAAGCGTGGCCCTGGCTTTAAGTATGCCTCCAACCTGCCCGGCTCCCTGCTCAAGGAGCAGAAGATGAACCGGGACAACAAGGAAGGGCAGGAGCCTGCCAAGCGAAGGAGTGAGTGTGAGGAGGCGCCTCGGCGCAGGTCAGACGAACACCCCAAGAAGGTGCCCCCGGACGGCATCCTGCGCCGAAAGACAGACGACGTGCACCTGAGGAGGAAGCGGAAATACGAGAAGCCCCAAGAGCTGAGTGGACGCAAGCGAGTACGGACTGGGAGGAGCTGGGCAGCGAGGGGTGGCCTGGCTGGTCCTGTGTGCGGGGCGCACGGGCGGGGGCGGGGATGGGCAGCGGGGAGAACTCGGGGTCGTGGCCTCTGGCTGCCCTGAGTAGGTCACATAAGTCATGAGAGCCCGGCCCAAAAGAAAGGAGGGGAAAACCAGCAAGTCACTCCTCTTCCCACCCCTTTAGGCCTCGACGCTGCAAACGTCCCCCGGTTCCTCCTCTCACCTCTCGCCGAGGCCCCCTCTAGGCAGCAGCCTCAGCCCCTGGTGGAGATCCAGTCTCACTTACTTCCAGCAGCAGGTGCTCCCACGTCGCCCCGCCCTCCCGAGGCCCTGGGGACTTGCGAGTTCCCGGGCCGCCCCCGCGATCCCCTTCCCCCCGGGAAGCCCATTGCCGCAGCCGCCGCAGCTTCCCAGGCCCCAGTCCCGGATCGCTGGCTCGTGGTTCTGGCGAGGAGCCTGGGAAGCTGAAGCTGCTGCGGGGAAGCCCTGTGGATCTGGGAACCTCGGAGGATCCTGGCGGCCCCGCTCCGCCCACCGGCCTTTCCCGCTTCGGCCACGAGGTGGCGCCTGGTTGTCTTCCCAGCTCCAGCCATTAAGGCTCTGCTGGGAACCCCGCAGGCCCTGCCTCCAGGACTGGCTCCCAGGGCCAGGTCTGACCTCAGTGGGCCAGTACACATCTCAGGGTTTGTCCAAGGGTGGGAGGTCGGTTGGGTGGGAACAGTTCGACCACATTTCTCCCTTCTAACTTCTCTTAAAAGCAGCAGGGAGGGCCCACTGTCTATCAGTCACAGTAGAGATGGGATTTGGGGGAAAGTGATCCTCCAGCCCCTACTCCAGAGACTGTGGTTTCGTGGTGGGGTTGGGGGTAGAGGGGACCAAATCCCATGAACCCTGGGAGCAAGCTCTGCATGCTTTTATTCCTGTGACAGCTAAAACCTGGCAAAGAAGATAAGCTTTTCAGGAAAAAGGTACCGTCTTCCATTCTCCTATCTTCCCCTCCCCCCCCACACCTGCCCCTGGGTCAGTGGGTCCCACATGGGAGGGTGGAGAGGCCTGGGTGGGTGCAGCCCTGAGCCTAGGGGCTTAGCTGCCCTCGCTCCCCCTCCTCCCTCAGCGGCGGTCTTGGAAGAACGCCGAGGACCGGATGGCTCTTGCCAACAAGCCTCTCCGGCGCTTCAAGCAGGAGCCGGAGGATGACCTGCCCGAGGCGCCCCCCAAGGCCCGGGAAAGCGACCACTCCCGCTCCAGTTCCCCTACCGCTGGGCCCAGCACGGAGGGGGCAGAGGGCCCCGAGGAGAAGAAAAAGGTAAAGATACGCAGGAAAAGGCGGCTTCCCACCAAGGAGCTGAGCAAGGAGCTGAGCAAGGAGCTGAACCAAGAGATCCAGAAGACGGAGAACAGCCTGGCCAATGAGAACCACCAGCCCATCAAGTCAGAGCCTGAGAGTGAGAGTGAGGAGCCCAAGCGGCCCCTGGGCCTCTGTGAGCGCCCCCACCGCTTCAGCAAGGGGCTCACCGGCACCCCTCGGGAGCTGCGGCACCAGCTGGGGCCCGGCCTGCGCAGCCCACCCCGTGTCATCTCCCGGCCCCCTCCCTCCGTGTCCCCACCCAAGTGCATCCAGATGGAGCGACACGTGATTCGGCCACCCCCCATCAGCCCCCCGCCTGACTCGCTGCCCCTGGATGATGGGGCGGCCCATGTGATGCACAGGGAGGTGTGGATGGCCGTCTTCAGCTACCTCAGCCACCAAGACTTGTGTGTCTGCATGCGGGTCTGCAGGACCTGGAACCGCTGGTGAGGGGCGCTGGCTGAGCTTGGATGGGGAGGCAGTGAGGGACTGGCCCGGTGTCGGGCTCCAGGCTCAGGCTTAGACTAGCCCGGGAATGGCACATGCGGGGTATGTGTCCCCACCTTAGTCATCGTGGTGATCTTTCTTTCCTTCTAAGCTCAGTCCAGCTTAATTCTTCTCAAAGAGTTCCGGGTGGCTACAGCAATTTGGTCACGCTGGTCTTGTCAGAAGAGGTGAACCCTAGTTGATTGCCTGATTCAGCCCTTGGAAGCTGAGCTAAGGACCAGGTGGAGTCCTTGTCCTTAAAGAGGTAGCCCAGGTTCAAAGCAAGGGTTCCAGTTACTGATCTTAACTTCAGCTTTGGTATTTCCTAGCTTTCTGGCCTTTGCCAGGTTACTTACCTTCACCTGCAAAAGGGTATAATACGATGTCTGCCTAGAGCACTGTTGTGAGAAGTGGCCTGTAGGGGGTGTAGTAAAGCCCCCAGTAAATACTTAATGCAGAGCAGGTACTTGCTTCTCCCATGGGGGCCCGTGGCAGTCAGAGCAAAGGTGCCCAGGTGTGGGCAGGACAGGCGTTAAACGAAGGATCCAGAGGGTGGAGTTAGGGAGTCCCCCACCCCCGAACTTGGTAGTGGGGAAGTTGCCACAGCCAGAGCCCCCAAGTTTGATGATGCCCCCTCTGCTGGGCCTGGCCCCCAGGTGCTGCGATAAGCGGTTATGGACCCGCATCGATCTGAACCACTGCAAGTCCATCACACCCCTGATGCTGAGTGGCATCATCCGGCGGCAGCCTGTCTCCCTGGACCTCAGCTGGACCAATATCTCCAAGAAACAGCTGAGCTGGCTCATCAACCGGTTGCCTGGTGAGCACTGGGCCAGGGACCCCAGAGGTGCAGTGGTGGGGGCTAGGGTGCATCTCCTGACCTGCCACCTCTGTCCCCCAGGGCTCCGAGATTTGGTGCTGTCAGGCTGCTCATGGATCGCGGTCTCAGCTCTCTGTAGCTCTAGCTGTCCGTTGCTCCGGACCCTGGATGTCCAGTGGGTAGAAGGACTAAAGGATGCCCAGATGCGGGATCTCCTGTCCCCACCCACAGATAACAGGCCAGGTGAGTGGCCAGGCCCAGGGCGTGCCCAAGGGGGTCAGCTTAGAGGCGGTGTGACCAGGCTGTGCCATTGGATCTGGTTTTCACCACAGGCCCCACCTGGTGCATGTGTTCTCAAGCCTCCTCTGGTCTCAGCCCTTTCCCAGAAGGTGCAGAGATTGTCCCGGCTGACATGTTCTCGGGCGCTTTCAGGAGTAGAAGCGATGCGTGAGAGCAAAGGCTTCTTTGCACGCCGAGACTCCACTGGGGGGTCTTCGCGTGCATCTGACTGCTTCTCTGTTCATCTATCCTTCGTTGGCTTTAAGCCCCCATAAGCACGGGGGTCAGTGTAGTTAGAGATGGGGTCCCAAGAGGGAGCCTTCCTGGGCCGGGTTGCGAGTCATTGCTCCCCACCTGTCACTTACACAAGGAAAGCGTGGTGATCCAGAGATGCCGTGCTGTCCTGCCCCAACTGGCTGAGTACTGCTGGGTAGAGTGAGGGCTGTGTTTCGGATTTTTCAAGACTCCAGAAGTGTGAGATTTGATGTGGAATCTTTAGATTTTTAAATGTAGGAACTAGTGTGGGGAAATACTCAATGGCCAAGTGAAACCCCAGCGTGACACGTGGCTGGTCGGCCTTCTAGTGTTAGGTTAGTGGGGCCAGATCTCCCCGGTCAGGTCGACATGCTGCCTCCCTCCTTCCTGCCCCCTCAGGTCAGATGGACAATCGGAGCAAGCTCCGGAACATTGTGGAGCTGCGTCTAGCAGGCCTGGACATCACGGACGCCTCCCTGCGGCTCATCATACGCCACATGCCCCTGCTCTCCAAGCTCCACCTTAGTTACTGTAACCATGTTACTGACCAGTCCATCAACCTGCTCACTGCTGTGGGCACCACCACCCGAGACTCCTTAACCGAAATCAACCTATCAGGTCAGTCGGGGGCATCCAGCAGGGTCTTTCTGGGACCCTGGGGGACAGGCTGGGACCTTCACATTCGTGGGGAAATAGTTTGTGTGCCTGCTCTCAGAGGGTCCTGGTGTTAGGGTGACGACAGATCTGTAACAACACAGACAGACGGCCTAGGCCGGAGGAGAAACATGAAACACAGCAGTTACTGCTGGATTGCTAATACTTGCTGCCAAGAAACGGTGCTGGTAGCAGCCAGAGCACAGAGCCGTGGTTCCTGACCCAAAATACCGACTTGAGGAGCTTCTCCCGGGTGGTGCAGACCGGCTGGCTCGCGCTGCACAGAGGGGAGCAGGACAGCGGCAGGCGGTGAGGCCGGGCAGGCTGGACCGATGAAGTAGCTTGGTTTCTGTTGCTATTGTCCGCACTTATGTGCACCCCCCTGACCCCGCTATCAGGGGCCTGTCGGAGGGGAGAAAACTCTGCAGCTGGCACCGGGGTTCTGCGTCTGCAGGATCCTCACTCTACTTGCTGATGGGCTGGAGTCGGTTTGCGAGGCCTGGGCCGTGACTGATGGCAAGCTGGACAGAGAGCGCGGCCCCCCCTCCGCCCAGCTCAGCCAGATCTGGTCTCATTGCTTAGGATGTCAGATTGTGTATGTAAGATTTACACAAGACCTAAAAAAACACTTTTTTCCTCCAGAAATTAGCAACTAATAAAGGACACCTTCACTTCATGCATGGTAGATACACACGTGCCTGTCAACTGTGCCACACTTGAGGAGGAATGGGGAGGTTTGGCGGTACGAGACTGTTCTCTACCTAGGAAGCCATTTCTCCTCCTCCTCCTCGGGGAGTTTTGGTGGCAAGGGTTGTCCCTCCCTGTGGAGGCGGAGAAGAGAGCTCTGCTGGCTCCCCGCGTGGTCTTGCATGGATGCTCCCCCCTGGGGAGAAGGGCCTGGGCGGGGCTGGGCATTGCGGTGACTCTCTACTAGGAGTCCCCCGGCCGTGGGGCAGAGATCCCAGGATCAGTCCTCCTCCCCTGCAGTGCCTGCGCGTGTGGAAACCCGCTGCTGCATTTGCTTTTCCACGAAGGCCCTCCCTTCGTCTCTGTACAGGGAGCTCCGCGTCCCGGTGAAGGGCTCTGCCGTCCGTGGCGGCAGATGTCTATACCCAGTCTCTTTGAGAGTCGTCTCTTTTTACAAAGTTTTCCCTTGCCATCAGTATAACTAAAGATAAAAGTTAAGTCTGTGGCACAAAATAGAGGACAGTGGACATGCTTCAGGATCCATGAACTTGCAGGATCTGCTCTAGTAACAGAGTGAAGTCACAGTTGTCCAGCTTTTGTTATTCAGGCTGAATTTCACCGCAGAATATTTATTTGGGTGCACAAGGCAGGCCCTTCCCTTCTCTTCCCCTGATCCCCCCCCACCCCATACACACACAACTGCCTTAAAATCTTTCTTCCAGTGTCTGTACTTCCACACAGCAAGCCTATGTTGCTATTTCTTGATTTTCTTTTTCCACTCGGGCATGCTGTATTTATCAGCTTGCTGTGTAGAACACAAGGATTACTATTCTTACATCTTCTCCTCGCCTTATCTTTCTAATTCACAGTTAAGTCTCTATCTTTTTATGGCCACGTAAGTACTGTCCACTGTTGAGCTAAATAGTGTACTGTAAGTACATTTCCCTTCTCGCACAAATTTTTTTTTCCTGGAGTTAATAATAATTGCCTTTTTTTTTTATTATATTAATCACCATACATTACATCATTAGTTTTTGATGTAGTGTTCCATGATTCATTGTTTGCGCGTAACACCCAGTGCTCCATGCAGAACGTGCCCTCCTTAATACCCATCACCAGGCTAACCCATCCTCCTACCCCCCAATAATTGCCTCTTTTTTGCTTAGTCTCTAAGCGGACTCTGCACCAGACTCGAGCACTGTTCTGCCCCCACACAAATCCCTCTGGCCCTGACCAGTTTCTGCAGGAGCCCTCCTTTCTGGACTTTCTCCCAGACTCCTGCCTTCTGTTCAGCCTGGGACTGTCTCCCACTACCATCCTAGAAATTTTCTTGGTCTGTGTGTTGTGTAGGGTCCCCACTTTCCTTGATCCCACATTTTTGTCCAAAATGTTATTCCCTCACATTTAATTGATAGCTTAGCTGGATCTAGGAACCATGTTGTTTCAGAAAGTGGAAGGCAGGGGCGCCTGGGTGGCTCAGATGGTTAAGCGTCTGCCTTCCGCTCAGATCATGATCCCAGGGCTCTGGGATCGAGCCCCACATCAGGCTCCTGGCTCAGCAGGGAGCCTGCTTCTCCCTCTGCCTCTCTCCCTGCTCATGCTCTCTATCTCTGTGTCTCAAATGAATAAATAAAAACGTAAAAAAAAAAAAAAAATTCATGGCTTTAAAAAAAAAAAAAAGTGGAAGGCATTGCTCCTTTTTCTTTGCCTTCCAGAGTCTAATCCAGAACCACTTGATACTTCATCCTTCGGTGAATATTTTCTCTACTCGGAAGTTTGTTAGGATATTTTCGTTGTTTCTATTTTTCTGTAATTTTTTTAAAAAGGTTTTGTTTATTTTGAGAGCGAAGGAGCAGGGGTAGGGGCAGAGGGAGAGGGAGAAACAGACTCCTCACTGAGTAGGGAGCCCAATGTGGGGCTCCATCCAGGGACTCTGGGATCATGACCTAGGGCAGAGGCTTAACCCACTGAGCCACCTAGGTGCCCCTAGTTTTCTGTAATTTTTGATGATGAGCCTTGGTTTCAATCTTTTCATGCAGCACACTCATGAGCCCTTTCGATCTAGAAACAAATGTCCTTCAGTTCTGGGAAATTTCCTTGAATTAATTCTTAATTTCCTTTTCTTCTGTTTTCTCTGTATTAACTAGTGCTCTGATACCCTTTTTTTTTTCCTCCTGTTTTCCACCATCGTGTCTTCTTTTTTCTTGCTTTTCTGGGAATTTTCTTCTACTTTATCACACAATTCATAGTGTTTTGTTTTTTTAAGATTTTTTTTTATTTAAGAGAGCAAGTGGGGGGAGGAGCAGAGGGAGAGGGACAAGCAGACTCCCCACTGAGTGTGAGCCCAATGCAGGGCTCGATCCCACGACCCTGAGATCATGACCTGAGCCAAAACCAAGAGTCGGACACCTAATCGACTGAGCCACCCAGGTGCCCCGGTTTTTATTGCTGTTGTTTATGTAGGTCAAAAACAGTCAAAACATGGGCAGTTTCATATGGTTCAACCTGTATTTTTAATTTTCCAGCTTTATTTTATTCACTGAACTCACACCCTCCCCCTACATCCCCCCATCCTCTCCCCTCACCTGTTCTTTGTACTTTTGTAAAGAGGCTTATTCTTGTTTCTTAGATCCATCCTGAGGATATTGATAGTTTTATTTTCTTCTCCCTGCATATACTTTTTCCTTCAGACGTAGTCAGTGGCCCTCATGGGAGATCCTCCTCGGATTTAGTGTCAGTGTGTGGTTGTCCACTTTGGGGTGACCGGAGGCTGTGGACATCAGTCAGTGTGTGGTCAGCATGGGTTGTTTCTTTGGGGAAACTCAGATGTGAGATCTTTCAGACTTCTCTTGAGCTGGTGAGGGCTGCCAAAACGATTCTCTTTGACCTCCCAACTGGAGGGTGCAAGCTAGGCTGCCCGGTGTCCTAGGGCCTGGCAAGGGAAGGAGGCTGGGGGATCTCAACAATCAGCAGGGAAGTTTCCCCATAGACCCTGATTTTGGCTGGGTGCCCCAGCCTGCTGTGCCAGATGGTGCCCAGACCAGAGACTTTCTCTCTTACCATCAGAGACTGAAACACCACTCTTCTGCAGAGAGAAGAGCACGTGCACAAGCCAGGGGTGGGCAGAAACAGAGAGAGTATCCGAAGCAGGCTCCATGCTCAGTACAGAGCCCAATGCAGGGCTCCATCTCACAACCATGAGATCATGACCTGAACTGAAATCAAGAGTCGGAACTGAGCCACCCCGGTGCCCCAAGTTGTAGTTCTTTATATATATACTCTGGATATTAATCTCTTATCAGATACATGATTTGCAAATACTTCTGCGCATTTTTTGTGTTGTCTTTTCACTCACTTGTAGTGCCGTTTGCATAAATGTTTTTAACTTTGGTTTAGTTCAGTCTCTTTTTGTGTTTTTGGTGTGGTGTTAAGAAACCATTGAGAAATTCAGGGGCGCCCGGGTGGCTCAGTCAGTTACGTGTTTGCCTTCAGCTCCAGTCATGATTCCAGGGTCCTGAGATTAAGCCCTGGCTTAGTGGGGAGACTGCTTCTCCCTCTGCCCCTCCCGCCACTCCCCTGCTCATGCTCTGTCTCTCAAAATCTTTAAAAAAAGAAAAACGAAAGAAACTTTTTTGACTAATTCAAAGTCATACAGTATTTTTAGCTCCTGTGTTTAGGTCTAAATAATTTTGAGTTAATTTTGTGTATGGTATGAGGTAGAAGGTCCAGCTTCATTCATTTGTATATGGATATCCAATTTTCCCAGCACCATTTGTTGAAAACTTTGTCTTTTACCCACTAAGTGGTTGTGGCACCTTGCCAGAAATCTTCGAAGATGCAAGGGTTTAATTTCTGGGCTGTCAGTTCTGGGCTCTTTGTCTGTATGACCTTAATGCTGGTAATATGCTGTGGCTTTGTAGTGAGTTTGGAAGTCAGGAGAATTGAAAACAATTTTGTTTCTTAGACTGCTTTGGCAATTCAGGATCCCTTACATTTCTACATGAATTTTAGGATGGATTTTGTATTTCTGCAAAAAAATGCTGTTGGTATTTTATAGCAACTTCACTGAATCTGTAGATCGCTTTGAGTAGTGTTGACATTTTGACATTTTAACACTATTAAGTCTTCCCATGAATATGGGGTAGCTCTCCATTTGTATCTTTAAATTCTTGCAGCACTTTTTCAGTTTTCAGTGTAAAAAGTCATTCACTTCATTGGTTAAACTTATTCCTAAGTATTTTATTCTTTTTGATGCTACTGTAAGTGGAATTGTTCATTTTCTGATTGTTCAATGCTAGTGTATAAAAATGCAACTGATTTTTGCGTGTTCATTTTGTATCCTGCAACTTGGCTGAACTTGTTTACTTCTTTATGCCACCTCCAACCCTGGGACGTGGATAATCATGAGGCCTACACTAGGGCTGTATTATTTTGATAGTTTGCCTGCACTGTTTTCATTCCTACTCCCCTGAATGGAAAAAGGAAAGTGCAGATGCTAGTGATGAGAAAGTGAGGCCTCCATCTGAACACCAGAGATGAAGGAATTTATCTGGCCCAGAGGGGGAGCTCTGAGCCCCAGTTGGATGCTAACTGGCATTGAAGCCAGTTGACTATGGATTCAGTTCTAAAACCAAAGAGGGTGGTAAAAGCAAAATATAAATTAATAGAGTATGGGTAGAAGAGCGTGTCTCTAAGTGAGGGCATGACGAAGGATTCCAAGTTCTGGGTTTGCTCGCCGTCAACAGAATCTCGCCAGCCCCTTTTAGCACTCAGGTCTTCTGCATGGGTTTCCAGTAAACATTTAGTAAGGGGGCTCACGAGCACGCTGTGCCTCGCTTGAAAGCCCTGGTGCCCATATCAGGGAAAAGGATCCCAAGATGACCATACAGATGTTCTCACTCTCACCCTTTGCTCCCTACCTTCCCCCGGAACTGATCTGAAGGGAATAAGCCGATAAGTGCACAATAGCGTCACAGGGAGGACTTACCGACAATAAATTAGATAGGAAAAGCAAGCTATTTAATATATCGTGTGATCCTGTCTTTGTTAAACAGCATAGACAGGAGACCTATTTATGTGAGAATATATACATATAAAGAGGCAATGATTTAAGCTTGTAAGTGATTTTACTTGGAAGTCTGAATGCTTTTCAAGCATACATGAACCTTTATAATTGGTAGTTGGAACAATTCCCCATTTAATGAGAATTTTCCAGCAAGTGCAGTTCTCCCTAGGGCACTAGGGACTGGACTATGCTCAAGGGCTCTGTCCTGTTTCTTCATTGCTCGGTGCTGGGGTTTGGGGGGGGGGCGGGGCGGTAGGGGCCTGTGGCCTCTGTCTACAGTCCCTCCACCTCACGTTGTCTCCTCTTCCCTGCAGACTGCAATAAGGTTACTGACCAGTGCCTGTCCTTCTTCAAACGCTGTGGAAATATCTGTCATATTGACCTGAGGTACTGCAAGCAGGTGACCAAGGAAGGCTGTGAGCAGTTCATAGCTGAGATGTCTGTGAGTGTCCAGTTTGGGCAAGTGGAAGAAAAACTCCTGCAGAAACTGAGTTAGTCCAAGGACAAGTATGTAAATAAGGGGTGGGTGGGGGGAGGGGACACAGCCGGGGAGGGGAAAAAACTTTACAGAAACTAGGGCTTTTATTTTCAATTCGGAACTTGAAACAAGTCTTGCTGAGGGAGAAGCCGTTCCACCACCTGTTTGGGGGATGAGTGAACCGGACACTTCGCTTTGGGCTCTCTGAATTATAACTGCACTGCTTTCTGGACCATTTCTAAAGGCAGCCTTTATCAAGAAGACATTCCCACGGGAGAGGAGGATGGATGTTGAAGAAATTCTCTTACTGAAGCATGAGCTTAGGAGTTTGGATGGTGGTGGTGTTTTGGTTTTGGACGCCTCATTCCTTTCAACTCCGGGGGGCGGTGTCAACATCAAGTGGACCACACACCACATCTGCTGCCGTTGTGACACTTTTTGTTTGTTTGGTTTTGTTACATCTTACATTATGCAGAACTATTTTTGTACAAATTGTTTAAAAGTTATTTATGCAAGGTTTGAATGCATACCTGTGTTTTTATTGTTTTGAGATTGCCAACTTTCCTGGTTTCCTTAAGGTAGGAGAGAACTTAACCTGTACTTCATCGATACAAATAATCGTCTCCACACGTGCCCAGAGCTGGCAAAGCAGGTGAAGACCTTCCAATTAAAAGCATGTTTAACTGGAAGTTGAGAGCCTGCTTTGCACGTCAAGAATTACATAAGCATGTGGATATATGTTAATTATAGTCGAAGTAAGACACTTTGCCAACTTTCCTCTGTATAGAATTCACCCATTTCTCAAAATTTTAAAATTCAGACTTCAGCCTTTGCACTCAGGAGGGTTTTGCGCCGGCATGAGCTCTTGTACTCTACACAGATCTAATTTATACAGTGGGTCAAGAAGTAGAATAAATGATCCAACATAGCCTTTCTTTTCCTTTTTTTCTCTCCCTTGAAGTGAGTTGAGTTCTCGTTCAAAGTTGAGAACGTGGCTGTTTCCGCGCTGTCAAGTTACGCCTTCATCGGTGCCATTGTTGTAAGGTGGTGTTTTCCTAGACCTTCCCCGATGCGGTTTTACCTTTGTTGAATTTGTATAAACAATTGTACAAAAAAGCACTCTTGGCCTTGGAGAGTTTCTGTTCGAGTGGCCTCGGAATTGGATTGAGAAGTCCAGAGGCAGCGGGCTCGACACCGGTATGAACACCCTAGCTCCGTCTGCAGAGAAGCGCGGCCTGTGTGCGCCGGCCCGACGGCAGGTGGCTTACCTGCGGGGCTGCCGGAAAGAACTGCCACGGCCCCAGGGGCGCGGTGGGGGGGGCTGTCCTCTCCTCAGCCTCTCCCTGGAGGCCACTGACGCACTGGGGCCAGCGGGCGAGGGAGAAGCCGACTCTTGGGCCAGGGCGGCAGGAGGCACATGGTTGTGAGGGGACGTCTCCAACTGGAGACACACAAACCAGGGAGAAGGCCTTTCAGATCACAGAATTTTTTTAGAAGGGTCTTACAACCTTCTCCCCTTTGGAAAGGACGGCTCCAGTGAATCTGAAAATGGAGAAGATAACCCACCTTCCTTCCTCCGTAATTTGTTGCCCCCCCCCTTTTTTTTGCCACAAAATGGTTTTAGATCCCACCCAGTCTCATGCCGCCTGTCAGTTTAAACCCAGAGATCCTTTGATGCAAACTGGAGACCTCTGCAGCTGTTATACCCCAAAACTGAACTCGGGAGATGCACTTTAAAGAGGTAAGATTCGTTGAACACTATGTTTTGTTTGTTTTTTAAGATTTTATTTATTAGAGCACCAGCCAGGCGTGGGGGCAGGAGAAGCAGACTCCCCACTGAGCAGGGAGCCCAACGTGGGACTAGCCATCCAGGACCCTGGGATCATGACCTGAGCCGAAGGCAGACACTTCACCAACTGAGCCAACCAGGGGCCCAACGCTATGGTTTATTTATAAAAGTGTGGCTTACTTTTGCAAGCCTGTTCATTCATCATGGAGCAACCCTCCCGCCCAGAGGCCAGCCTGAGTTCTCCGGACTTCCAAATAAGTGTTACCCTGATGTCCAGTAAGCGCCTCCTCTTCTCTGGGAATTGCTTTAAGGATAACCGTGTTCTCCAGGTGAACAGTCACTGGGGCTGGAGAGCCCTGTTTCTCCTGTAATGTTTCCAGGAGTCCGCAGGTCTGCCAAGAAGAGGCAGAGAGGGCTGCCAGGGCTGGGGAGCCAAAGCTACCAGAGGGACATGCCTCAGAACCAAGACACTGGTCTCTCCAGGCTTGAGGCAGGCCACCATCCTATAGTGGTCGCATATGAGCTCCCCTGGGTGTCCTGAACAAACCAGTCAAAGATACCCCATTACAGTTTCGGTACAGACCTGTTATTTTTATTTATTTATTTATTTTTTTTTTTTTTTAAAGATTTTATTTATTTGAGAGAGAGAGAA